ACGTGTGTGTACACGTGCATATGCGTCCTGGCCCAGAAAACAGGATCTAAGTGGACACTGGCCATTCCTGGTGTGCAATCCCTCAACACACAGAGTCAAAGCCATTCATCGCAGAGCAGCCTTTGGAAGTGCAAACCTAAGGATGCGTTCCTTCTGGACGAGCCTCTGCGCCACCTCCTTGTAGCTCCCCAGTGCTCCGAGACAGAACCCCCAGACGACCGTCCAGTGAGATGAAGACCTTCCAGATCCCAGCACCACCATCCACATCCTCCCACATCTCCTGTCTCTTGTTATTGCCTTTCTCTCGAGTTCCTTTAAATATACAATGGACTGTTGCTTCTTTGCACAGACCATGCTAACTCCTGTCCCAGGCCATGGTCAATGTCAGTGTCACCCAGCGGTGTATCATGATGCTTAGGAACACAGACTGTGGACCTGGCCAGCCAGACTTCATGACCGTGGGGAGGTTTCATAACCCCAATTAGCCTCAGTTTCTTCTTCCATAAAGTGGAAATATTGATAGGAGGATTACATGAATAGATTTGAATGTTTAGAAGAGTCAACACCACTCTTATTAAATGTTTAATAAATGTTAGCTATTATTGACACTACAAATATTTCAAGATTCAGGTCAGGCAACCTCTCTTCCATAAAGACTTCTAAAATTTCTCCTTGCTCCAGATTATTAACTGACATGTTTTTGTACTTTAGCAGGAATTCCTGCTTATGGGTCTGCCTCCTTCACTAGTCAAGGAACTGTTCCAGGGACAGGACTGGGCACAGGTGACTATTAGCAAATATTTTTAACGAAGGAATGAACAGTTAAGATTCTTCTTGTGATCTTTACATTTCTATAGGAAATTGCTAAGGAAAAAGCCAGGTAGGAAGGACTGACAAAGTAAATTTTTTGGAGATAAAATTGCTTGGCTCCACAGTCAACACTCTTGGCACCAGCAGCCAGTAAATTAAAAGACATATTACCATGGGAAAGTCAGCTGTTAGGGACCTCTCCAAAGTACTGAAGAGCAATGGTGTCTCTCTGGAGGCTAAAGTGCATCTGATACAGGCCATGGCCTTTGCAATCACTTGTTATGCATCAGAGAGTTTGACAATGACTAAGGAGGATAGAAGGAGAATTGATGCCTTTGGGCTGGAGTGCTGGAGAAAAGTATTGAGAGTACCATGGACTGTTAGGAAAACAAACAGAATCATCCTGGAAAGGGTTAAACCAGGCATCTCCCTGTAGGCAAGGATTCTGAGGCTCTGTCTGACATACTTTGGACACACTGTAAGGAGGGACTGGTCCCTGGGTCCCTGAAGAGGGACATCATGCTTGGTAGGGTGGAGGGACAGCACAGGAGGGGAAGGCTCTCTATGAGGTGGATTGATTCAGTGACTGGGGTAATTGGGATGGGTGTATCAGAGACAG